AGAGGTTGGATTCAGTGAATCGTAAGTAAGAGGGATGGATGCAAAAGGGCTAATTCTGTGAATCAGAGGTTGGATGCAGTGAATTGAAAATAAGAAGGACAGATGCAGAAGGACTGATGCTGTGAATCAGAGATTGGATGCAGTGAATCGAAGGTAAGCGTAGGGCTGAGTACCAAACCGAGGTTTTTTTATGGCACCGACCGAACTGCACCGGTCGGTGTATGTATTGAAACGTCACTCTTCTTTCTGTGTCAAGTTTCGGTATTGGCTGTAACGTGTCACGTGGTTTCAGCATGCAAGCAGGCAAAACACCAGACATATGACAAACAGACTACACCCAGATTACATCCAGAGCTGTATAGAGCTGCCGTACCTAATCTATGTATACTGTAATGTATGTCTATGGTGCTGGTGACGCCCACAGACGGGTTCACGTGCGCAGCGCGTGTTGTCGAACGGCTTCGACAACACGCGCTGCAGAAAGTTGCTCAGTGTTTTTCTGCGAGGAGAGAAGAGTTCATTAGCCTCCCCCTCTTCCTCTCAGCGTTAAAGTCAGCCTGTGAGTAGAGCCTGAACGTCCTGATTCATTATCTCCACGACGGGACTCTTCATCAAAGAACTCTGAGGACGGCTCTGTGTGCTTCAGCTGGTGAGTTTACGTTTGTTAGCGTAACTGCAGCTTAACACGTACATTGCGGTGAAATAAATTATGATCCATGTAACGCTAACTTTAAGATATTCTTCTTCTTCTTCTTCTATTCCTGTAGACTCCTGGTGGAGCATAGGGCTGCAACAACTTTAAGATATTAGTGAGTAAATTTATTTTATCTACGTGGCTAGCTAAACTCAGAAGCTAATTAAAGATTTGACAGTAACATAAATCTTAGCTTTTAAAACTGCTCATCCATCCAGTCAGTTGCTTAAACAGTTCACTAATGTTCACTGTTTATGTTAATGTTCTCCTCACAGGAGGTTCTGACCCTGATGTGAGGACAGAGACAGACAAAAGAAAAGTGAGGTGGAGGCCACAGGACAATCAGACTTTGTTGTTAAAAGTTTGCTGCTTTTCTACAGTGGAGCTGCACGGTGGAGGTATGTAAACTGTAAAGGATTTTGTTGACCAGTTAAGCTTTTATCTCTCAGCCTAGATAAAGTTTTTTGAGTAATAATAACACAACCATGTTATTGTTGATGTTTTGTTCTAATGTCAATTAGGGATATGATCAGAGCCCTAAACCCCAGAGAACCACAGAGAAGATTCAGGCAGAGACACAGAGGTGCAGAAGTTTGCATCATCCCTACCTCAGTGAATCCAGTGACCTGCTGGTGGAATGTGAGGGACAATATGTCAGTGATATCAAACTGACAACCAGGTATCTGTGTGTGTAACAAGCATCATCCACACCCTCAGAGTGAACATTTTATACTGCTGGAGACACCATCAGCTTGGAGTGGGCTTGTTTGTGTCCACAGAAAGCAGACATGTTGATTTTTCTGAAGAAAAACTGTTCAGTGAAAATGTCCTCAGTGTGTAGCAGTGAGCATTAGACACTTACGTGTCAAAAAGGACTAATGCAGTGAATCAGAGGTTGGATGCAGTGAATCGAAAGTAAGAGGGACTGATGCAGAAGGACTGATTCAGTGAGTCAGAGGTTAGATGTAGTTAATTGAAGGTAAGAGGGACAGATGCAGTGAATCAGAGAAAATGAAGGGGATAATACAGTGAATTAGAGTTAAGGACTGATACTTTGAATCTGAGTTAAAGAGGAATGATGGAGTGAATCAGAAGTAAAGATGACATGCAGCGAATCAGAGGTAAAAATAGGAGTGATACAGTGAATCAGAAGTAAAAATGACTGATGCAGTGAATCAGAGAAATTGAAGGGACTAATACAATGAAAAGGCAGCACTGTGGCACAACTGGTAGAGCTGCTGCCTCTCAGCGAGAAAGTTGCTGGTTCAAATCCCGGTCCGGGGGTCTTTCTGGGTGGAGTTTGCATGTTCTCTCCGTGCGTGCGTGGGTTTTCTTCGGGTGCTCCAGTTTCCTCCCACAGACCAAAAACATGCATGTTTGGCTGAATGGTAACTCTAAATTGTCTCTAGGTGTGAGTGAGAGAGTGAATGGCTGTTTGTCTCATTTGTCTCTATGTGTCCCTGTGATGGACTTGCGACCTGTCCAGGGTGTACCCCGCCCCTCGCACAATGATTGCTGGACATGGGCACTGGCGATCCCCGTGACCCAAAATGGAAGAAGCGGGTAAAAGATAATGGATGGATGGATAATACAATGAATTAGAGTTGAGGACTGATTCAGTGAATCATAAAAATGACATGCAGTGAATCAAAAGTAAAAACGGACTGATGCAATGAATCATTAGAGAGAAGGACTCATGCAGTGAATTGGAGGTAGAGGGGCTGGTGCAATAAATCATTAAACATGTAAGTGAGAAGGGATAATTAAGTGATTAAAAAGAGTGGAATTAAGGATGACAGCTGAAGAAGGAAGTAAGAAAAGTTACTGCAGTGAGTCATTAACCAAAGAAGTGAGAAGGACAATTAAAAGGAGTTGAGGACTGATGCATTGAAATCAGAGTGAAGACTGAAGCAGTGAAATCACAGGAGGAGAAGGAGGAGGAGGAGGTTAGGACTTGTCCAGTGAAATCAGAGGAGAGGATTGATGCAGTAAAATACAGGAGCAGGTGAGGACTGATGCAATGAAATCTGACAAAAAGGTTGAAGGTGGGGAATAATGATACAGTGAGTCAGAGGAAAAGGTAGTAAATAAGATCGGAGGGAGGTAGATGTTGAGGTGAAATGGAGGAAACAGAGTATCCTGATGCATGCTCTATAATCCAGGTAGAAAAATCTAAAAAAGTTAAATCTGGTCCTCTGGACATTCAAAAAAACAAAACAAAGCAAATCAACAAAAAAATGTAGAAACGTTTCGTCTCTCATCCGAGAGACTTCCTCAGTCTGAGGAGCTGTATTCGGCTCAGTCTCTTAAATAGCACCGTCTCAGGGCGGATCAACCAGTTTTGCTGCTGACAACCAAAACCAGCTGATCACATGCTCAAGAAGGACCATCAGCATAACAATGGATCATTAGCACACTGATGGCTGTTTACTGTTCACAGAGGGCTGAGTGATACTAGCAATC